GGCTTCTAGCTTGTTGGATTGCGGCTGTTCTGTTCTGTTAGTTGTTATTGAAGGAATTGGAGGAGTCGATTGAGATGGAGACACAGATGATTGCAAAAGGGTCAAGAGGAAGGAGGAGCTGGGGATTAAGGAAACGACGTCGTTTTGGTTGGGACTCCAATTTTTTTTGGGAGGCAGGACTGACGCGCACTTTACCGTAATCATATATGTATTATTTTTGGATAAATACATTTTGGGTTTAAAGTGGGCAAGGTGGAGTCCCATGCTAGCCCAGCCCATTTAGGCCCGGACCACCACCACCACCACCGCAGAAGGGCGCGTGATGCCACTCTCTCTGGGTGGAGCTAATACCTCAACCTCACATCAAGCAAGGTAATTAATCATAAACACAGACGTCCGTGACTCGCTCAAACTCCGAACCCCAAATCCGCCATGACCGATCCCCTCAGCGTCATCCACCTCCGGTCCACTTCTCAGATCCTCAAACGAACCACGACCCATTTCTTCTCCAACCTCTTCACATTCCTCTTCCTTTCCTTACTCCTCTGCTCCTTCCGCTCCCTCGTCGAATCCGGCTCTATCCTCCTCACTTCCTTCATCGACCGAGACCCTTCCCTCAGGGCCCTCCTTTCCCGCCTCGATCTCCACCCCAACAATCCTGACGCCCGTCTAGATCCTTCTCGGCGCCACACGCGCCGCCGTTTCCTCCACCTCACCCGCGTTGGCACCCTCGATGATGATTTCTTCTCCTCCGATGATGACCACCGCGATCGTTCCCTCTTTGGTTCCCTCCGTAACCCTCCTACCAATGGGACCCCTATCGTTGTCTCCAACTTCGATCCCAAATTGGGGTTTTCGAATTTTGTCGCGGACAATGGAATTTTTCTCCCGGAGGTAGTCCGCTACGGAGTCAAATTCAAGGCGTCATCTTTTGACAACATTGAGCAGCATCACGAGCGTGATCAAGAACAGGAGCAGGGACGGGAAGAGGAGCAGAATAGTGACGGGAAAGAACTGGAGAATATTGTGGATTTTCAGTTCTTTATCAAGGGCTTGGAGCTGGGTCGGCGCGATGCGGCAGCTTTATTCTTTCTTGTGACCTTCATGTCGGCTGCATACGGGTGGGTGATTCTAGGTTTCACAGTGATATATTCATGGGTTATGGGCGTTATTTTCTTTACCGTCGTTAATGATTTGAGTGGGAAGTTTGTTTCGCTCTCTAGAGCTGTTTGGGACGGTTCTAGGTTGGGTCTCAAGAGGCTCGCCGGCTTCATCTTGATGCGATGGGCCGTGAGAGATGCGCTGACGCAGCTTCTTGGGTTGTGGTATTTCGGTGAGGTTGAGGATCAGTACTCGTTTTTCAAGCTATTTGTGAGGTTGAAGTTGATTCCCTTTTCAGTCATGTGCCCCTGGATTCGGGGTTTTGAGAGGGAGATTTCAGGGTTCTTGTTTACATGGTTCTTGTTGGATACTTTGGTGGCGCTTATTTTCTCGTTGGATGCTTGGATTGTCATCATGGATTCTGGGAGGAGTGGGAAGGAGATTCTGAAGGAGGGTTGTTACTTGCTGTCCACAATGTTAAGTCCAGCAATACAAATTAAGTGTTATGAAGCTATACTCGGAGGGCCTCTTGCAAGATTGGTATTGACACGAATTGGTGGGAATTTATTCGCAGCTGTTTGCCAGGCAGTTTTTGAAGTTTACTTCATGGTGGCATGGTTGATATTTTACTTTGCAGCTAGGTGTAGGGATCCTAATGCGGAGGGGAGGAGGTTTGGAAGAAGAGAATTGGAGGGCTTGATTGACGGCCTTAGATAATACTTAGAAGGAATGCGGTGCGGCGGTGACTGTTTTTATAGCAGGTAGAACTATCAATTGTGATATAGAAGATAGAGATGGTAATCTTCCATCGCATTCCATCTTTATGTTTTTTCAGTCCTGGTGATGCAATACAGCCCTTGTGTAAGCAACTAAGATCTGTTGTATGAACTCTACCATGAGGCAATATACCACTTGTGTATATTTTTCCTAATCATTTTTGTCAATGCCCCAAAAGTACCTGACCTTCAGTTATATGAATCGAGAATGTAATTCACGTGCCTTCTGCAAGTGGTACTCATGCGTGATACTTAGACCTATCTAATCCTTATCCATTTTTTTGTATACATGTGCATCTGTGGAAACAGGTTAGTTAAAGTTAGGCTGACAGGGTTGCCTTTGATAACTTATCCTTTTGCTGTGCTCGTTGATTTGTTATTTTTGTCGTTTTATTGGAGGGAAAACAATTGAGCAATCTGTAGAGGTCAAGCAAGTACAGAACATTTTGCATATGATCTGCAATTTTAGCAGTATTTGGCAGGATACACTTCTTCCAGGGTGTTGTAAGGAGAGGAAAATTTACATTGAAAAAAAAAACTGTCTATAAAACTTGGAAATTGTAGGCTGTACTCAGAACTTGCAGTATTGCATAGATTGAGAAGGTATTCACTAAGCTTTAAAGATATCAGGTTCCGCAGCATCTTGTTGGGGGTGGGAATCCAAAATTTAACCGGTATGCTTTGAGGACTTTAAGGTGTAGCTTTCCTGACACCGAGCTCAAATGGTCCCTTGTTTATTAGAATTGTCTCTTCCAGGGTTGCCTTTGTTGTGAGGGCATCCTATCCTAAGGAATGCTTCACACCATCCCCATCGTAAAACTGATTTTGTGCTTGATTCCTAGGAACATGATTGGTGGCTTGATTCACGGCCAGCGTTACCAGTTTGCGTCCACCAAGTAATTCTTAGTGGTGAGCTTAACCCTTTTTACAGTTTTATGATGGGAAATCTTTGTTAAGTCTGAAAAACAGGAAGCAAAACCTTTGCTCCCTCTGTGCCCATCAGATGTCTTTTTAGGGACCAATGCTAAGAAATTTGATTTTGTATGTGTCCAAGTCTTGAAACACATTGTCAACTTTTGGCACCTGTTAAAAATGTCAGAATCCGGCCAGTTTCTGGGTCTGGACCAGCCTCTAATTTAGAACAGATGCGATTTGCTAGTTGTAGAACTGGATTCTCCTGGGGTCCTGAACAATATTGATTTTCACGCAAAAATATAATTTAGTTTTTGAATTGAGTTACATCTACAAGCTAAATGAGTTGTGTTATAAAACTCCACTTGATATACTACATTTTATCAGTCTCTTGGGACTTTCGAAACATTTGATTTCTCAGATGAATTGCTGAAGATAGTCTGAGAACTTTTGATCCTGTGGAGAGCTAGCGCAATGAACAACGTGGAGGAAGAGGCCTTCATCGCAGGGAATGCAGAGTTTGGAGTCAGCATTGAAGCCATATTCATCCTTGGCTTGATCCAGCAAAGCCTTGAACAGCGGGTGTTTGAGCAAAGTGATTTTGATTACAAAGCGCCTATAGTGTTCACCAACATAGACTACTAAGTGACCCTTTGGGACATCTCTTGGGATTGCATTCTCTTTATGCATGAAAAGCCACAATGCCCACTGATGGCGGTTTTCACAGCCAGTGCAAGGTATAACTCTACTCACCATCTTCCTCCATTTGTTAAAGCATGCCCTTAGAAACTTTTCCTTCATTTCCCTTGTTGAGAATTTAAGACAGACAACAGAAATAAGAAAGGAAGACGGGGAAGGGAAGGAGGGAATAGAGTGATATATATAGGTCTAGAATGGAGAGAGTTAATGTTTTAGAGGGAGGATTAGATGCTTGAGATAGCAGGTAGCTAAGGAGGGGAACTGAAGTTAGAAATGATATTTCAAAGTCTTCATATATACAAAATATGATTACATAGTTGCTGCAGTTTGCCGTGCTGTGCTGTTATTTCCTACTTATCGTATTATTGCATCTTGATACAAAATTGTACGAAAAAGCATCCACTGTTTTAAAGTTGACGCATAAATTATTATACTTTGTGAAGATCTCATAGGAAGTTAGGTAGGGTGACTCTGTGAATCTCCCTCTCTTCCTTGGCCTTTCTTAGCTAGAGAAAGGTGCTTGATCAGTGATCGTTCGGAATTCCAGAAGTTGAGACCCACAAGTTGAGAGCGGAAAAGATGAGATATATGAATGAGTGATGGGATAAACTCCTTGGACAAAGTGTGATCCCACTTATTTCTAATATGCTCTAGTGGATATTTTAAAATATGCAGTATCATTTTGCTCCAGAAGTAAGAAAAACATGTTTTACTATGAACTGTCATGAAAACATACAACTAAGTGTTCATAATCTTTGTGAAAGAAAATGACACTGTAATTTTATGATACGGCACTTGATTTTACAAGCAGCCAACTAATGATTCTGGCTGGATATCATATCTGGTGAATGATGGAAGATGAGCTAAGACCTCACTTTGTTTGTGAAAGTAGCAATATTTCTTGTTTTTTGCAGGATATTGGTGGATCACTTTCGGCTTGAGATTATCTCAAATCTTGTTTTGCTAGATTTGGAGCGTGTACAATGTCGTACAATAGCTTTCTGCCTTCTCTAAGATCTTGAATCTTAAATTTATCATTCCATAATCCATATCTTTGACTGCACATCTTACCTGTTTTGTCACAAAAAAATCTCTCCATTCTCTTACCGGTAGCTATCTATGTATTCATTACATACAATAAGGTTTCCCTGTAGTAAATTACTAAATTTCAACTAATTCAGGGGGTTGATTGTCCAGCACAGGATTTATCCTCTAAAGACAACAACAATGTGTGCTTTGTTGCATTGGTGAAATAAAGAGAAAAGAACCCTCTTCTGCAGGGTTACAATGTTGAGAAAAACTGTGAGAATGAGTTAATATTTTGCAGTCCATTTATATATATCCTTCTCTGATTACTTTTGTGTCTTCTCTCCTCTCTGACTTAGACAACACAGATTTCAGTTCACATATTTCAATTAGAAAAAGAACCATACAGACAACTTTGAATGCACACATAACAAATGTCAACAGTTTTCATGGAAATTGAAAGATTTTGTATTGACTTAATTATGGATGTGGTGCAGACCATATCTTAAAAAAGAGTTCTTATGCACTTTATTTGTGTTTCTGATATTGAATATAAATGCTCTAAGTAGCTTAACTCGTTTATAACCTTACTTTTTTCTATTGAACATTTGATGATGAGCTGTGTCTACTCATCTTAAGGTTGAACATGAGACCTGTAAATTAGCTTAAGTTCTTTCAAGTTAAGACATCACTCGGGACACAACCCTATTACATTATGTGTACTACCAATGCATCTGTACCTGCAGAGACTGCATGCATTATTAAGTACGGGGAGGCTTAATGACTGAAAAAGCCTGCATTTCTCCTTAATCATCAAATAGGAAATAATTTTTATACAATCTTTTTGTCTGATCTTTTTATATAATTTGACATGTTATTAAAATGATTAATTTTTTTAATTCATATAAAACTTATAATATTAAATACATTTACTCATTTAATAACACGTAAAAAATTTTATAAAAAAATAAGACAAAAAAATTATTTCTATATTACTACCCATTATCAAACTCAATCTTTGTGTAATTTTAATACTGATCTAATCCAAGTCCATCTGAGTTGGACCTCTAAATCGAGTTGGGCCAGTTAAGATCTGCAGGCTGGGTATGTTTTTGACTTTTTGGGCCAGGTTTGTATTCGCTTTTTCCCCAATGGCCTAATCCCAAAGATATATTGCAGACTTGAGCTCCTTCATCGGGTTCCAGAGGGGAAGAAACCCGTCGCCGGAAACAGCCAAGCCTACCCGGCCGCTGCAGGAACTCACGATTCTGAGGCGGCGATGGTCTCTTTTCAACGGAAAACCCATGTGTCATTGCGTCTCCGTAGTTCCCAAAAGCCATTTCAGGGTCTAAAGAGCAAGATCCTTGTGGGTATTGACCGTGGGGTCCCAAAATTCTAGATTGAGGTGTGTTTTCCTGAATTGGGGAATTCAAAATCAGAAAGCCCCATGAGCTGCGTTGGGTTAGGCTTTGAAAGAGATTAGGAACAAATTTGCTATAATGTCACAAGCATAAAGGTATAAACTTTACTCGGTGGGTGGATCCTCAACCCTGCAGCTCAGCACTGTTCAGGTATACAACATTTTCAATATGATCACCATATTTTACTACCACTTTCAAAGCAGAATCTTTAAATGAGATGATGTGTTCCATGTTGGATGGAGTCAGAAGATTTTGTTTACAAATTACAATTACATGTGGAAGTTGGAAGTTAGGAGTTCTGGGAGTAGTAATTATGGTGGGTTGGGATATTTTAGGTGGGGATTAGACAATTGTCACCAAGCCATTTGCCACCAAACCCTCTTGATAGGCAAGTTGTGGCCGAATCTTTCTAGAATATTGCCTTGTTTGCAACAATTCCTAATTGTCCCCATAAATGGGTGAATAAGATAGCAGGGGAGTATTCTAGTTTAACCAAAAGTTTTGATTTCAAATGTTAGGAATGCAGTTCTGTTAAAATTCGTGAAGGAAAGTTTTATTGTAATTGGTGCTGTCTGATTTGAATTCGGATTAATTGGTCACTTAGTGAACTTTCGAATAACAGGTGGTCTATAAAAATAAGAAAAAAAAAAAAACAATTCCTAATTGTTTTGTACACTGAAAATTTGTGGCTGAACAGATACGCTAAGGTATGTTTGTCCACGTGGTTTTTCACTATTCGGAAAACCAAAAAGAGAATCCTTATTGTAAGGTTGTTATCTACTCTCTCTGTTTGATTTTATTAGTAGTTTTAAAAAATTATTTTTAGTTCACATTGTTTGACGTTTTCATATTTTAAGATATCATTAATTTTGTATATTTAAATTTTTTCTCTAATAGATTTTGACAATAATTAAGAGGCTCATTTTATAGAAAATAACAAAAGGGTAAATGAGTAAAGTTAATATAAAATATTCATATAATAAAGGATATAAATAAGTGTTTTAATTTGCGTGAAAAA